AGTTGTAGCTTCCTGATTTGGTATTGCATAAGCCTCAGGCCACTTGGTGAAATATTCCATCACCACACAAATGCACTTGTTTCCAGCACGAGTTTGAGGCAAAGGAATAGCAATGTCAATGGCTACTCTTTCCATTGGTGCACCAACTTGATATAACTTCATTGGAGCACGGCCCTTATGCTTGGGTCCTCTTTTAGCACAACATGTACTGCATGTCCTGCACCATTCTTCCACATCTTGTCTCATACATATTCAGTAAAATCTCCGTCGTAGGTGACTCAATGCCTTCTTAACTCTGAGATGTCCTCCTGTTAAACTATCATGGGATTGACGCAGCACATCTTCCCATAACTTTCTCGGTATAACTGTTTGCTAGATCGTAACTTTCCCATCTGCAGTTTCCCATCTCCGGACAAGAATACCATCTTCAATCTTCAACTGGTCCCATTGTGCCCAATAGTTCTTTGTAACAGGGCTTAAGCTAGACACCTTCTCCCAAGCAGGGCGCAAAACAGTTGCTATTAGAAAATCAATTATTGGCTTCAAATTTTGACCTTTCTCCTGCTTTGCTTTTTATATCTATACCTGGTTCCATTTCACCATCATCAACTTCTTCAGTTGCTTTGACTTCAGCTTGATGACACCTAGTTACCTCAACCTTTCTTTTGCAGCAATGTCTGCAGTCATTTTTGCAGGTTCTTCAGCTCAGTCCATCGGCATTTCCATGAGATGTTTCTTCTCTATATTCAATATCATAATTATACTGGTCTATTTTTCCGATCCAACGTGCCAGTTGTCCCTCTGGGTTCCTTAATCATCTTAACCAGCGTAATGCAGCATGGTCTGTCCTGATGGTAAACATAGCCCCACAGAGGTAAGAATGGAAATATGTCAATATGTGTTACACAATAGTTTCTCTCTGGTCTACTGAAGTAGGCCACCACATGTTCGTTTTCCTCCACTTTCTAAGACAACACTTCTCCAATTCCGACATTACTAGCATCACAATTCAGTATGTACGGCAGTGAATGATTTGGAAGCTTTAAAAGTGGAACTGAGGCCATATTTTCTTTCAATATCTTGAAAGCATGCTGGCAAGAAATTGTCCATTCAACTTCTGGCCTTTTTTTTGTCAAATCAGTAGTGGAACAGCTATAGTTGCAAAGTCCTTCACAAACTTCCGGTTATAGGTACAGAGTCCGAAGAAACTTCTTAACTCTCCCACCTTGTCTGGTGTTGGCCAATCACGCATTGCTTTTACCTTGTCAGGATCAGTTTGCACACTATGCTCACTTAGAATGTGACCTAAGTAAAGCACCTCTTTTTTTGGAACAAATGGCATTTCTTGGGATGGAGTTTGAGGTTTGCTGCTTTCAAACACTTGAATACTTCCTCTAGCCGGGACATTTCCTCATCAAACATTGTTGCAAACACAATGACATCATCCAGGTACACTAGGGCTATCCTCCATTGTAGGCCTTCCAGCACTCTTTCCATCAGCCTTTCAAATGTTGCTGGAGCATTACTGAGCCCGAATGGCATCACTCGGTATTGCCAGAGACCTTGGCCATAACTAAATGCAGTCTTAGATTTATCTGCTTCAGCCATTTTCTCTTGATGGAAACCCGACTTTAAGTCCAGAGTTGAAAACCACCTGGCTCCACTTAGGGCATCAAGAGTATCATCATTTCCTGGCAGTGGGTATGAGTCTTTTTCGGTTATACTGTTAAGAGCCCTGAAGGCCACACAGCAACATTGAATCCCATCCTTCTTCTGAACTAACATGACGACCAGGGACTATCTGATTTCTCGACTATCCCTTCCTTACTTAGGCCATCCATGACCTTCTCCATCTCTTGTCGCTTTGCTGGAGCTGTTCTCCTCGGAGGGATCTTTATTGGACGGTAATTGCCTGTGTTTATTCTGTGCTCTACAAGGTCTGTGCACCCGAGGTCATGATCTCCTTTCGAAAAGACGTCTGCATAATTCGCCAAAAGTTCTCTAACATGAAGAGCCTGTGATGATGACAAATGGTCTATACTCTTCTTATAGAGGTCAGTTAAATGTTCTGGAAGTGTATGTCCTTTCTTTATAATTGTATTTCTTGCACTAACATTGACTGGCTCTACCTCCTGGCACACACCCAACAATGCCCCTTCCTTAAGTGTCTTCTCACATTTAGAGAAATTAGTTACTGTTATAGGTACTACTTGATGACCTGCCACAAGAGACCTTCCAATCTTCAAATCCGCTGGCCTGGATGGGTCTTCTACTGTTTCCACAAGCATTGGCTTCCGTGAGGATGTTCTTTTATCCTACCCCAAATTATCTTCTCTGACATAGGGGGTATTGTAGTTGACTTAAGT